GAAGTTTTAGGATATCTTCCCTTTAATTTTTCCTAGACACTCTGATTTTACTTATGTCTCTCACCTTTGCTTTCCCTCCATCCCCCACCACAACAGTAACTTGCTCCAGGCTCACTTTGCTCTAGTGTCTAGGAGATCCATCTGCCACCAGAACTACGATTCCCAGCATTCCTGGTGCTTCCCGCATGCTGGGCTTCCACTTATGGTCCTGGGGCTGCCATCAGAACTACTATTCTAAGAATTCCTGGTGCTCCCCGCACTGGGAGTGACCGAGGGAGCCACGTCCCCCCAAGCTGCTGGCTCTCCCGCTTCTGCTCTCCCGGCCCCTGTGTATGCAAATTAACCCACCATCTTTGTCAGGTTAATTTGCATATTCACTCCTGATTGGCTGGTGGGCGTAGCGAAGGGACAGTCAATTTACAAGTTTCTATTTTATTATATAGGATAGCTAAGGTATAAATATATGAAAATGCGGAAAATATATACTTTTAGATAATCTCATTTACAGCTGAGATTTGAAAAGTCATAGGAAAGAACTAAAGGATTACCTTCTAAATTGGTAAAACAAGGGCCCATATAATTGATCAGATTAAGTTAATATCTATGATACTCAGTTTTCCCTTTGGAAAAAAATGGGAACCTAGTAGAGCCAACCACACACGGTGATTATAAGTATGAAATGATTTAACTTCTGCAATTGTACCCAGCCTATCACCTAGTGCATGTATTCATTCCCTTTTTCACCCCTTTCCAACACAAGCTCCCATACCCTTCTGCACCTCTTCTTTATCTCTTGCTAAAGAAGAACAGATAGCTGGGACAGGAGCTATTAGCACCTCTTCTTTATCTCTTCCTTCTATTACCAATCATGTAAGATTCCCTTTATTTCAAAGCCATAAATCCTGAGTGCTTGATTAGATTTTCTATTAAAGGAAATGTATGTTCTTATGGCAATAACATCCCAGAGTAAAGTTATAATAGCACTAACATACCCTGACACCGTGTCCTTATCCTATTTTACAAGATTGGATAATTCTTGATACTTAAATGCTATATATTAATTAAAATATATATATTAATTTCTACTAAAAATCAATATTTGTCTGAGGCAGCTGTTGTTTATTTCATTCTCTGAAAGGAGCTGGAAATATAGATCAGTAATGTGGAAATTTATATTTCTGCAGGCTTTCTTGGGCCAGGGCTTGTAAATGCTAAGAATTATAGAGAAAGCACGTTGTGTTTCAAGAAAAAAATACCTAGTCTTTTTGGTCAGGAGACTTGGGTTCCTTTCATAGATTGTTATTTTGTCACATTATTTTTGTTTGTTTGTTTCTCTGTGCCTTAATCTTCCTGGTGATAACAAACGGGCTTCCTTGCAGTTAACTTTATACAGAAGGGACAAGAAGACACTAAATTATTGAATTCTACAAATAATTTCCCCTTATCAACTCTGCCAAAATGGAATTAGTGGAGGGGTTAAAGAGGAGTAAAATGAAACCTGAAGTTCTATTGAGTTTCTTAAAAAGAAAGATGCACAGAGCAATCCATCATGACAGTATGATTCCATCTGATCCATAGGGTCCTCTCAGAAGCAGAGGCTCAGCTATCTGATCTGATCATTTAGTTCTACCACAAATGAATCCTTCTTGCCAAGGGAAGGGGACTTTAACATTGCTAGAATTTCTTTCTACCTTTGGAAGTCTCCAGTTCTTCTTTCTGTGTAAATACAAATAAGCATCTCTTTCTCTCTTTCCCTGACACCTGTGGTTTATTGGTTACTCTCAAGTCAGATCTTGTATAAAATGAGAAAAAAAATTGCAAGTATGATATGTGAATGTTAGGGGAAATTCCGGAACATCTAACATTTTTTTTAAAACTGGATGATTGCCTAATATAGACTTCTTATTTTACAGATAAGGAAATAGGCCTAGATAGGTAAAATATCACATAGATTGAACCATGTAAAACTAAATATGCTTACTGCTTTCTGTTCCCTCAATGCTGGACTACCTTTTATAGTATATGAATGCATTAGGATAAGTGAGTATACAATTGAGGTTCTTGTAATAGCTGCTTGACCATCAGTGGTATGTGCTCCTTAATGCAGAAATTAATACTTAGCTGAGGAAAAGGTCTAGGAAAAGGGGGATTGAAAGAATAGGGATTTATAGATGTTGTAAGAGAACACAGTAGACACTTCATCTAGGATAACCTTGACTCCTGTCATTTTGCATATACCTACCACACAGGTATATGAGCAGGAGATAAGGGGCTATCGATACATGTTGTATGACCTAAAATATTAGATGATGCTGAGACTTTTTCATAAATTTCAGATATTCTTTGTGGTCACATCTTAAAATCTTGATGTGGGCTTAGTTGATACTTGTTAACCCCAGAGGTAAGGCTAGGAAAGTCAAGAAACCAAAGAATTATCTACCTCTTTCATCCTTAGCTGTCAAATTTTAAGGCAGAGAGAGAAAATATCTGAGTGTGATGTATATATGTGTGTGTATATGCGGATTGGCTTGTTTTTGAAGAGCTTCAGATCATCTTAAGTAGAAATGAGGCAAACAGAATTAAACCAATCTCCACAAGAACACACACCTTGACTCCAGGTTACTCTGGACTCCACTTTGCATCCTTCCTAATTGGACGGCCATGAATAAGTGAAATGTCTTACTATTTAGAAGAAGGTGTAAGTTTGCCACTTCTTCAGATTTCACTTTTGAAAAATCTGGTGGCTTAGAAGGGATAGAAAGATCTAGGACAGTGATGGCGAACCTTTTGAGCTCAGCGTGTCAGCATTTTGAAAAACCCTAACTTAACTCTGGTGCCGTGTCACATATAGAAATTTTTTGATATTTGCAACCATAGTAAAACAAAGACTTATATTTTTGATATTTATTTTATATATTTAAATGCCATTTAACAAAGAAAAATCAACCAAAAAAATGAGTTCGCGTGTCACCTCTGACATGCGTGTCATAGGTTCGCCATCACTGATCTAGGATGTATGACTGCAGTATAAGTTTCCAAATTGACTTATATGGTAGATATATACTATAAAACAATAACAATAGCAATAATGAAACCACTCTGGAAACAGGTAAAATCCAGTGAGACTTTTAAGACCTCTTTATCTGAAATAACCTTGAAACAGAGAAAAACAAGTTTAATGACTAATATATATTTGAAATGTGCAGGTTGGACAGCATTTGGACTTGGAATGAAACACTAAGAGGTTACATTCATGGATAACCAACAAGATAAGGCTGTTGTTGCCTCAGCCAATGGAGAAAACACTCTGAATAATGGGGTCAAAGAAAATGGTAAGGGAATTTAATTATAATACATAATGTCTCTCCCAGTAGTCCTTTGTTATTATTTTGCTATCCATAATGCTTGGACAGGTTAAGTTTAGAATGCCTCTGATATTGATGTTAATCCTAAATTTTATTCCACCAAATCTCTAACTGGGCTAGAAGGGTCTCTGAGACATATATAATCCAATCCCTTTGCTCTTCCAAATCATTTCTTTCAAATGAATACTTAAGTTCCTCAAAATCCCTAGTGAATTAGAAATATGCTCTGATGTGAGGCTTGGAACATTCAGATTCAGTATGAGCTTCCAGAACAGAGGTCTGAAGAATAGGACTGAGCCTCATAGCTTAAAACCATGAATATCCCACCTGAGCATTTTGTTACCCTGAAATCCTTGACTTTCCAATTAATTGAGCAGTCAGCCTACTTCTTTTCTACTTCTGAGGAAAGTCTCTGAAGGAAAAGCTGAATCTAAAGGAAATAATGTATTTCACTCACATGAATATTCAATATAAAATCAGGGTTGGTCTTTAACTTGTAATTTCTTATTCTAAAGCTAAAGAAACTGAAACTGAGTTTATATAATAAGATCAAGTACCTGAAACTGACCAAGGGAAGGAGAATTAATGAGTTTGGTCTAAAACCTTTAATTTTATTCCTGTCATTTTTTTCCCTTGTCTCTAGACTCAGAGAACCAGGATATGGCAATGAAGTCATTTGCAGCTCTAGAGGCTGCTGCACCTGTACAGCCTATACCCATGGTTCAAAAAGAGACCCTGATGTATCCCAGGGGTCTCTTGCCTCTGCCCTCCAAGAAACCCTGTATGCAGAGCCCTCCCTCTCCTTTGGACCTGATTGAAGCACCTGAGCATGCTGCTAATAGTGCTTCTGTGAATGCCATCTCCCTTACATCTGGTGTTGGAAAAGGCCTAAACACATGGTCACTGCCCAATGAGTGTGAGAAAGCTTCATTTGCCATAATGGAGCCTGCAGGCTTGTCAGCTCTGAATGGGGACTGCCTCATGCAGCCAAGCCGGACTTGCTTGGGCTGCTTCATGGAATCTAAGGATACAGTAGATCCTGAGCCAGGGATCAGTCTAAAAGTTGGTGATCTAAATAGGGATTATGAAACTTGTGCAGTCTCTGATATAGGGATTCAGTGTATTAATGCTGGAGAAAATATGAAATACGGAGAGCAGCTGCTCTCAGACCAGCTTCTCGGCTTCCCCCTACACAAATCAAGGGCAGGAGATAGACGAGAAGCTGAGAAACCTGACATCGACTTGGAGGATCCAGCTCAGAAAAGTTATTACGAGGCATTACTGTTAGATAAGTGCAACACGGAAGAAGCTTTGCTGGCAAATTCCAATCAGGATTGGGGTTACTTTGAGACTTTTATTAGTGAGAGTAAGATTGAACTTCTTGACCTATGTTCTAAGAATGAGCTGTCTGTCAACCTATTCTCTGAAGAAGATGTGGATAACTACATGTTTGATGATGATGAGTCAACACTGGGCAGTGATGTCTGCTCCTTGAAAATTCGATATGAGTCCTTCCAGGACAATGTCCGAGACAAGACTACCCTTCTGATGCAGGAGGATGCACAATTCAACTTTTTCCCCAGTGTATTTACTACCTGCTCCAAGCGGGAGTGTAAAAGTGGGGCCCTGAAGCAGAACAGCGATCTTTCCCAATTCAAGGTCCCTGATGTGAGCATCATCTGGGGAGAGGAAGATAAAAATCTAGACAAAAAGAAAGGCAAAGGAGAAGGGCAGGAAAATAAAGATGTAGAGAAAAATGATGGAAAGGAAAATGGAGAAAAATCTGCCTTAAATAAACCATGCAGTGGGACTGAGGAAGGGCAATTTAAGAATCCAAAACAAGGCCATCTTGCCAATTCCTTGGAGTCATCAGGGAATTTCAGTGATGACAGTTCCTTCATTGAAGTCTCTTATGATGCCATGGGAGAGATCAAAGACTGTAGCCGTTATATGGCTCGGGATAATAATTCTGGTGGCTCCTCCACCCAGCAGAACTATGGGCTGCGAGTAAAGAGAAAAGTCAGGTACAGTGAAGATTATCTATATGATGTTGACTCACTAGAGGGTGAAAAAGTAAATGAGAGGAAGGAATGGATTCCAGGTGGTTCCAAAGAGGAAGATGATGATGAATGGTGTCCCAAGAAGAGAAGAAAAGTAACCCGGAAAGAGCCCCCTGTTATTATCAAATACATTATCATCAATCGCTTTAAAGGTGAGAAGAACATGCTAGTGAAGTTGGGTAGGGTGGATGCTAGTGAGACAACAGTGAATTTGAGTGAGCATCAGCTAAACAAATATGCCAAGCTGGCGCCCTTGAAGGGCTTCTGGCAGAAGAAGAAGAAGCAGAGAAACAGCAACACAGACTCCAACAAGACACACTTATGCCCAAAGCAAATCTTTGAATCAGGTAGCTTTGAGGTGTCATTCCTGCCACCTGCTCGCAAACGAAAATGTAAACTTGGAAACAGGCACAGGATTCAAAGAATCCCATCCATGGAAACTTCAGCAAGTGCTAAGCAAATTTCATTCTACAATGATCAGAGGAAAGCTATTAGTCTTAAAGAAGATGGAAGCCTGAAAGATGCACAGAAATCACCCCCTCTGGCTGCTCCCAGCTGTGCAAATGGATCACATTTAAATAACATCACAAGCCCTGACTCAATGAAATTCAAAGCCCAAGATGCAGAATTTAAGGGGCCAGAGAGGAAAGTGCTCAACAAAATCAAATTTAAAAGTGAAGCCAAATTAAAATCTAAGAAAATCAAAGCTGGGCAAGAAAGCAAGCCAGTTGTTCAAATGAGTCCACTTTTGGAAGACAGATCCTCCAAGACTAATTTAAATAATGAAGCTATTCCTGGGACCTCAAACAGTTCCCATCTATCTGAATTTCGTGAGGCAAAGGCTGCTAAGAATTCTACTTTCCTACCAACAACCTGCTCTTCTGAAATGCCTCTATCATCTGCTAATGTTACCACCAATATACCTGTTATCCCTGGAGGGTATCTACAGACATTGTTAGATGCTTCTGACTTGTCAAATAATAGTGTTATCTCATACTTCACTCACCATTCCCCAGAACAAAATGAAGGCAGCCTCACTCATACAGAAAAATCGTTTGTACCTCTCCAACCTGACCAGGACTGTGTGCTTTCCTCACCTTCTGAGTCTGAGCTACAGCAGTCATCCCAAAACTTCAAAATGGAATCAAGCAACTATGGAAATATGTGGCCCAACAAGCCTACTTCTGGTCCCCAGGAATTTATAGCTGAAGTCTCAAGGGAGACAGCCCCAACCCAATCCAGTGAATTTGGAGTCTCCCAGGTAGTGTCCATGGAAAATAACCTCACAGCTGCAACATACAATCCAATCTGCCTCAATAGCGGTGATGGTGGTTGCAACAAGGTCCTATATGCCTCTGTGCAAGACACCCATCTTCCATCTGATGAGTCTTATCAATTATGTCACTTTAATAATGGCGAGATCTGCTTTCCTTTCCATCAAGACCCAGTCAATATAGATGATGGTAGACTATTTAGCTTTGATTCCATGGCCCCACTCTCTGTCAATTCAAGCAATTATTGCTCCTTACGCTTGAAGTCCTGTGAAAAGGATCCTGATGAGGATATCACTGATAACTTCCTGGCCCATTGTAGCCCCAAGCTGGTGATCCAGCAGAGCATTGATGAAATAGCACCACTAAAGGAATCCACTGATCTCCTTGATATCTCCAACTTCACTCCTGACAAATTCCGCCACTCTTCCCTCTCAGAGATGTCCCCACCAGACACCCCCAGTATTTCCCCTCAAATTACCAGATGTGACAGTACAAAGACACTAGGAACACTGAAGGGATTCCAAGAGGGTGTCCCAGGATCACTGAGCAATATGGACAAGATCAAGTGGGACTGCACTACCCTTCCACAACAAGTCCAAGTGGAGGATGGATTTTCTTTAAATAGTCATCAGTTTCAGTTCCATATGTTCAATGATGATGATTCTGTCAGCCTGCTCCAAAAAAACCCTTGCTTATCAACATTTGATGATCCATCTGATAAAATGAATGCCAATAACAAAGTGTTGAAATCAAGAAAGAAAAGTTTTCCCAACAAGAGTGGGTCTGTGAACCAAAGCTCTTCTCAGAAAAATACCAGGAAAAAATCCCCCAAAACCACCACCAAAGGGATTGAAAAGCCATCTGGTAAAACCTTCCGCCAGGTCCCTAAGTCAATAAAGAAAGGGAAATACATAGCTGCAATCAATGGAGAGAAAATGCAAATTGGCATTGGCCACGAGAGAGGTCAAATCAACAGCCTATGCTCCACAGGGAAGACACTAACCGAATGTATCCAACATGGTGGTCTTGGGGCCTCTATGAAGATGCCAAATCAGAAGGGACTTTCTGGAGGTTGGGCTTTGGGTAAAGACAGCAGCCCAGGCTGGAGCAACATGAGCATGGGCACCAACACCAACAGCCTCCTAGATGATGACCAGCGGGAGTTTCAGGAGCCTTCTTATATCTTGTCCAACATTGCCTCTGGTATGGCAGATGTGCAGAGATTCATGATGGCCTCCATAGAGCCCCTATGGGAGCCCACACAGCACCATGGGGACCCCAACATATTCTATTCCCCTGAGTCCAATAGTCTAAAATTAAAAACCCTCAAAATATTGGCTGGAACACCACAGGAATCTAAGAAAAAAGTCAACAGTGGGTCACCAGGAGCCACTAAGAATCACAGGTCTATCAAGGGTGTGAGTAAAAGCAATGGGAAAGCAGCAGTAGGTGATCCTGGTGGTGCACACATGCCTGGTTATAATGAGGACTCTCAATCTGCCTTCTTTGATAAAAAGTGTAATAACCTGAGTACTTTCGGTAATAATGGACCAACACACAAAAAGTTATATCGTCACAAAACCAGCACCAAGGCCCTGAGAGATGAGAAGTGTAAAGGAAAGCGTGTGGAGCGAGAACTGGTCCAAAAGGATGAGGCTGGGACAGCTTCTTTTGAAAAACTGAGGTAATACTGCACAAAATGGCTGAGATGATGCACCCTTAGCTTTCCTACTACCTGCAAAGCCTACCGTCTATCATTTTTCCCCTCTTGAAAGCAAAAGTTTGCATGAAAGAAACTGCCCATTTCCCTTCTCTTTCAAAGTAAAAAGGAAAAATAAAAGTGCATGAAAATCCCTATACTTTTAAACCACCCAAAATATTGGGCTATTTGGTTGTGGCTTGGCTAGGTATAAGCTCTAACAAGGCTACTTTTTCTGCTATCCAATATTAGCTTTTACTTATTGACAAAATAGAACTAAAAATATGCTCTTGAATGATTTGGGGAAGGGAAGGGCTTTGCAGAAAGAAAAATTTTCAACAACGGAATTAAAATGCTATACAGTCAAAAGCCAAGATTATTTAAGCAAAAAAAAAAGTAATTTGGAAAGCAAAATTTAATCGTGCAGCAATTAAGAGTGTTTTCTAGTGGCCCCTGCTATTTCTATCTTTTTCTGCATCATACGGTATTTAGTATGATGTAAACAAATTTAGATTTTGTGATCCCTTTGTGGGACATACTCTAAAACTGACTAAGATGGCATAAATTGTTTGGTTTTTCTGCAGGGATTCCGACTACAATCTCCTAAAAGCAGAAACAGCATTTTGGGTTTTACCTGTATTTGAAGAAGAGGCTCACATTTTCCAGAAAGACATTTGATGTTTCTATTTTATTTCTTTAAAAATATACCTTGTGGTATGTATGTTGACGTGTAAGTGCTTAAAGAAAAGAATTTTAAAGTGTGAGAATAAGTCTTTGAAAGCAAACTTTAATCTGATATTCTTTGTAAAAGACTTTAAAGTCACACAGTTGCACAAGAAGTTTATGCACTATTAACCCAAGGGGAAAAAAGGCAAACATTGTGCCAAACTACAAACAAGTGACTCTATTGTATATATTTTTACTTCTGTCAACATTTGGTTGTGAGTATTTGGGGAGCTTATCCCTGTTGATTTACTAGAAATATCCCAGTGATTCTTGCTATTAACCACCCCACTTTTGTGGATAGCACCTATAGATCACAGTGGAAACATATGTTGTGCTACACAATTTACCAAAACTTAAAAATGCTGTTTGAGATGTGCCAAATTTTCTTACCTCATCTCATAGATTCACCCCACAGTTTAAATAGCATTAATGGATTTTTAAGTATATTATATATGTGCATACATACATTATTTAAAATTTTCAAACTCTACTGTACTATGTGGAAACATGAAGAATTAAGCATGGCACAATAAAGGTTTGTTTATTCCATTTTTGGAGGGTTAAAATGTTGGAAAAGTCTGGAAGTGATAACAGCTAAGTCCATCAGGGACCCAAGTATATACATTTACAGAATGTTTTATAAGGAAACTTTAAAGTTTGTTTTCTAAAAGCAAAATCTGTAGCTGAAAATTATTTAAAGTGCAAAGTTATATTGCTCATACTTTATATCTCAGTTTTATATATTTTATAATAGTCTGGGATAAATTATAAAATAGCTATAAATCAACACTAATGGTAAATTAAGTACATAGATTGTTTTTATTTAAATAGTTTCCTACATGTTTTATTCCAGTTTTGTCAAAAGTGCACTCATATCATGGCTTTAGTTGTTCTCTAAGTGCTTAATCTTGCAATGCCAATGTCATTTAAAGAAAACATTAAGACATCTCAGTACAACTCTTATGGGTTACGTGTGTGTGTGTGTGTGTGTGTGTGTGTGTGTGTGTGTGTGTGTGTGATAAAATGAACAATTTGTGGTAATGATTAATTTTGAGGCCATATACACTTAGTCTGAGGATGAATAGTATTTGAAGCCACGCACTATACTTAAATTTCAATTTATATATATTTTTGAAATCACATTTTTTATTCAATCCTCCCCCCCCCTTTTTAAATTTCACAGCTCCAACATCTCTCACTGCTAGCTTTTTTCTTCCCCTTTATTTACCACTTTACTTCTAACATTTGATCTATTTTCCTTGCACAGTTGAAGGTCTGTGCATCTGATGATGGGTGCATTATGGCACAGATGAGATAATGGATGTGAAAGCGCTTTGTAGATCATAAAGTGCTATACAGATATAGGGGATTAATATTATTAATGTTGTTGGTTGTTGTTGTTGTTAACCTTACTATTCTTACTAATACTGTTACTAACCTATTAACCTTTAAATATATAGGCTGTGGGTGGGAGGGTGGAGACTAGTGGGTGGGAGAAAGGGGGATTTAAAAAAGGGGGAAGATGTTTAAAAGGAAATTTTAAGCAAAATATGAATCTACCTAGTTATTGCCACCTAACAGAGAAGAAACATTTGAAAGTAGTCAGAAATGGAAGGAAGCCTGTCACATGTATTAATATACACACTTCCCAGTCCATTAATTTTTTCACCAGCCTGCTCTACTACTTATAACTAGGTTGCAAAATGAACAAGCCTGTGTTCTTGATGGTGTGATTGTGTGTGTCTGTAGGGATGAGTGGGTGAGGAGCATTTTGTGAAGCTGCTTCAGGTCTAGAAAATTATTTACTCAAAAGGCACCAGATGAAACATGTCTCCTCCTCTACAGCTGCCATCCAAAAGGGAAAATAATCAAACTGGAACACTTTCTTCTATTTCTCCACTCTGATAGCTAGCTGTTTGCACTAAATTCTATGGCTGGTTCCTAGGAGCTGGTATTTGTTTTGGTTTTGTGTGTATGTGTGGGTTTTTTTTATATTTTGCAGCTGAATTTTGGTTTGGAATCACCAACTCTGCCTATTTTGTGAACCCCAAGACTTCAGACTTCAAAATCACCTGCTGGCAATTAAAAGAAGAAATGAATAAAATGTTCCATGAATACAATGTGTTTTGTAAAAAATAACTATGGGAGCAGTTATCTAGTTTTTCTCAGTATCAGTTCAGCTTTTCAAAAGGGGCTGAGGTGGGGTAGAAGGAAAACCTGAAACTGTTGGAAACAGTTTTCTTGTCAGACCTTGCTATTAGTCCTTTGGAATAGATAATCTTTCAGTTTCTTCTGTGGACCTCATTAGGGGCCAATTCTATGGCATGGTTCATCCCTTTCTCTAAAAAGAATTTCCATTTAAAGTGTCTTTTTATCTTTATTGTTGAGAGTATTACAGATGTCCTCCCATTTTACCACCTTCTCTCCCACCCTCCCTCCCCCAGTTCCCATCAACCCCATGCCTTCACCACCTTATTTTCTGTGTCCATGGGCAATGCATATGTGCATATAAATTGTTTAGTTAATCTCTTCCCAGCTCCTCCACCCCCTTCCCTCTGATATTCGAATATCTGTTCCATGTTTCCATGACTCTGGTCCTATTTTATTCATTATTTTATTGTGTCCACATGTAAGTGAGATCATGTGATATTTATCTTTCTCTGACTGGCTTATTTTGCTTAGCTTTTTCTTTAATTTTTTCTATGCTCTTATTGATTTTAGAAAGAGAAGAAGGAAGAGGGGTAGGGAGAGAGAAAAAAACAAACATCGATGTGAAAGAAACATCAACTGGCTGTCTCTTGTAGGCCCCCTACTGGGGATTGAGCTGCAACCTGGGCTTGTGCCCTGAACTGAAATCTAACTGGCAACCTTTTGGTGCATGAGACATCACTCAACCAACTGAGCCACACCAGCCAGGGCTACAGTGCAATCTTTTAATCCCTGAAGCCTGCATTTCCCATTTTATGAATCAATCATATGAGATCAAGAAGACATGCCCGGGTAGAGTGGCCAGATTTATGCTTAGCTTTTTTTATTGGCCTACAGTACATTATATAATTTTTAATATATGTAAATTTTATTATTAACATATAAATTAGTGACCTGTAACCACTCTGTATAAAAATATAACAAGAATCCAAGTTGAGAAATGAGCAATAGGGCAAGTCAGAAGATGCTTATTCTCTTAATTATACTTAATATCCCACTCAGTACATGATGTTCTGTGTTCTTTAGTTTTTAAAGCTTTGTTGATCCTGTCTCTCCTCTCACAATTCTTTTGTCTTTTAATTTTAACTCACACTTCTTTTTTTTTCTGTCACAACATAGTAAGCCTGACTTTTTGGAGATTTCTTATTCAACCAGCTGCCATAGTGGAGTGAGGACCAATGATATAAAAATAGTGTTTTGCCCTAACACTGGTATCTCAAGTCAGATATATGAAATTTTCCTTGGTCTGAAATTTCTGATTGCCATTACCTATAAACCTCTCCTTTCTGAGAAGCTTCTCCCTATTAATGCCTTCCCAAATTAATCCCATTTAATTTTTACTTTCCTGAACATGGTATTCACCCTTATTCTTCTTACTTAATCTCAGTCCTTGCTTTAGGATTTTTTTCTTTTATATTCTCATATTCCACTTCCCCAAAGTGTCAGAATATAAGAACCTTAATCAGGCTACTTCTGGCGGAAGTTCAAAGAAGAATCTTCTCACTCTTAATTACCTTTAATTGCTTTTGCCACTTCCAAATCTAATTTTAAACACATGTTGAGAGAGAGAGAGAGAGAGAGAGAGAGAGAGAGAGAGAGAGAGAGTTATGTCACATGACTGAGGAACGTTGGAAACTTTTTATTTGAAAATCTGTACAAACAGATCTGATCCCCTTTCTAACTTGGTTAGGTGCTGGACTGTGTGGAGCAGGGTGTTAAAACAGTGGCCTTGACCAAGGTTCTTCAAGACTTTGGGATTATGTTTGGGCTTGAACCAATGGCCTCTCCAGTGTCTCATACTCCACCTTCCTATGCTTCCTCCCAGCTTTCTCTTCTGACTTCTTGTTACTCTGCAATTATGTGTGAAGGCCTTACTGTTTCCTAAATGTTTTCAAACCTCCTGCACTATCTTGAGCATCACTTCTTTAGCCATCTCCCTGAAGTCCTTGGTGCTAGGTGGGCTTTTGTGACAACTTTCATCTTCTCTGAACTTTTTCTTTGCTGGGATACAACTGTATGTATGCTGGGGAGAGGGAGGTAAGTGTGTGTATAACAGAGAAGCATAAAAGATGCTTCACAAGCTGTAAACAGCTCTGGCATCCTATGTTCTGTTATGTGAGGTTCTGCCATTTTAGTGAGTTTCCATTTTAGTGGGTTGTTATCAACATTTACTTCCTAAAGCAGAAAAACCATATCCAAGGACCTTTTAATCAAGCTTGCTCTTACCAAGTTGAATCAGTGTGATGCAGATTTACCACATCTGTAATTTACAGATGCTCTCAGAACAGTTCCAAAAATTGAAGAGAGCTGAGTTTCTGCACTGAAGAGGAGAATGGAGCACTAGCTTGTCCTAACTATTACTAGAACTAGAAATGTTTGTTTTCTCCTGTATTATTGAGAAGTTCTCTAATTTAAGGAGTTTTGTTTTCATTTAGGGTTTTTAATGACTGCCCACTTCTATAGAAATATGACGTTTTTATGAAATAAAAATAAAATGAGATTTCTTTTCTAATCATAAAATTCATTAAGCAAATCATTACATTTAGGAGGTTTAGTACCAAAATCAAACATTTTAGTAACAAATAGGGATCTTGTCAATATAATGTAGGCCAGGAATTTTGTAAGTGTCTCAAGTACCTGCATAAAAATGAAGAAAAAATTAGCTGGCTGTTTAAACTTGGGAAACACTGTAATCTGCTTGAGGGTCCTCAGCCAGCATAGCATTATTTTGATGATAGTACTCAGGCTATCCTTTAAGACACATTTTTTTTTTACTCAGAGCATTAAATAGTAGCTACAGTCATGAAGCAAAATCCCCATTACAGCTACATGATACTTGAGATGTACTCTTGGTTTCAGAATTATAACTAAGAGGTTAAACATTAGAGAAGGACAATGTAAAAGAGAGAGGCTTAGTACAAAGTTGAAGGTGAATGAGGCTTTTAAAATCAGTATCTGGGTAAATACATACTAACATTAACACTTATCAACAGGAGATAAAAAGGATGTACATCCTCTAACAGGCTCACTGATTTCTGAATCTTAAAAAGACATGCCCCTCAAAAAGAAAAAAAGGAGATATTTAAATCATTTTGCCTCTTTGAGAGACACCTAGTTTCACAGCACAAAAAGAAAAGGCTTAGAATGAAAACTTGAAGAGGCCTTTTGTTTTTGACTCCTAGTGAGGAGTGAGAAAGCTTAAGATGCTCTACTGCGATATATGTAGCACTGACTAGGGTCTGCTACTTGCAGAGTTTTGAATGTACTGTCCTTAATTTAATTTCCATAAAACTGAATGCACCTCTTTAGTAAGTTACTGATTTATGGTGCTAAAAACCTATCAACCCCATTTTTCTCTTCTCCCAAGCCCCTTACATATTTAAGAAAATTTAAAATAAAAGTATTAGAAGCCCTTTTTATGAATGTAACCTGAGTTTCTGTTTGATATATGACACTCCAACTTTAAAAAGTTAAGAAATTATTTGCCTTTTTTCTTTTAGAGTTAAGTTTTATAATCTGTAGAGTCAATTGAAGTATAAAGGTTAAGAATCAGTCTTAAGACGCCTACAAAATCTTGTATATTTTTAAGTGTGCTAATTTGTAACATATTTTGTAAGTGTATATTTTTCTTAGAAAAGTGCTGTGAAGTGTCTGTATGTGAGAGTTTTCCTTTTGTGCACCATTAGGTGCTAATAAAAGGATATTTACTTCAAAGTTTCTGGTTTTAGAAACCACAATACAAAGAAAAATACACTTTGTTGGAAATTTTGTAACACAAAACATGTTGTGAAAGAGTATAGTGATCTTGTGCAAAAGAAAATGAACATTTGTGAGCTTCTTGCTGTTTTATAGATTTTCTTGTAAATTATTCTTGTAACACCTCTGGTTTTGTTGTTCTTGTTGAAAAGGTTTTAAATATTTGTGACTGAGTGTATGGTGAAACTGTCATAATGTTACCTAGCTGAGTTTTGTTGTTTATGGAACAAATAAAAAGAAAAAGTTTAAAATACTGCTTTAGAATTATATGTATCAGAAATCGAACCATTTCTAATTAAATTCTATGTCCCAAATAAAAAGTTCTTCATTGTCTAGAGCAGTGTTTCTCAAACTATCTATGGTGAAGTACCAATGTTTTTTTCTCAAATCCATCACAGACTGATATTATCATGTAACAAAATAAGAATGAATTATTAAAGTGAAGAGGAAAACATATTCAAAATAAAAGCCCTAATGTATTCAATTCAACATGTAAAATTACTTAAAACAAACGTAGGGGAAAAGAAAAGAATTGCAAAACTTTGGTATTCTGTTTGATTCAATTTGATTAATGTCAAATTGCCATAGAAGGCTCTAACCCAGTGGTTCCCAATGTGGGGCATATGTTCCACAGGGGGGCAATTTGATTTTTAAGGGGGACAATTCGAGAATGAGTTATTAACAGAGAATTTTTTTTGCATTTCTTATGGTTCTAGGGGCCTCATATACAGCATATAAATATATATTGTGACATACTTATTCATTTCAGTTTTCTATTATATGATTTGAAATTTTATTTGCTATTTTTTCATATCACTTCATATTATTGTTATTTTTTTTAACAATTTCTTAGTGATTTCTTCCTCAGTTCAACTTGTCCCTTCGTTCTTTTATTTTTCTCTTTCATGGATGCCCTGTTCTTTGGAAGCTTATTTAGACCAAATTAATGGCCTTTTAGGCTTCCTCCACATAAATAGGAGTTCACTTTTTGAATAATAAGAATTATATGTCACGGGGGGGGGGGCACATCAGGATTTTAGAGATGCTTAGGTGGGGCATGGCCAATAAAGGTTGGGAACCACTGCTCTAACTATTCTTTAAGAAATACTTTGAGTAGGATTAACAGTGTTACCATCATCTGGGAACTTGTTCAGAA